ATATATATATATTAGGGCTGTCAAATGATTAAAAATGTTCATGTATATGTATGTATGTATATATTTTTTTAACTTGGCGCACTTTAGCTGTATAACTCGGTCACTTGGTCTCAAACATTTGGCGTTAGAGGTGACTGTAACAAAAATTAGCATTATTCTTGCAATTTTTTCCACAACTTTGAGGGACATTTTTTCCTCTAACTGGTCTCCCAGCTGATGCAGCGCAGTAAGACAGGACCTTTGGATGTTTAGCTAGCAGCTAAGCTCTAATCAAAATGGGATGACTTGGCTTTTGTTTAAAACTAACACCAAGTTTACACATCTGCTACCAAATCTCCATGTCAAACAGCACGAGGCAGAGCTCCCAGCACCGGGCTTTGTGCAACAACCGTTGGCCTGTTCTGTTTTAACCTAGCTGGGAATTAAAATGGTAACAAGAATAAAGCTTTTTTAATATTAAATGCTTACACATTACAGATCTGAGCTTTAGATAAAAAAGTAAATCATTTGTTTTAAAAGGTGAAGTAAAGTTCAGCATTAATAAAACAACAAAAAAAGCAGCGTTTACCCATTTTCTGTAAGTCTGAGTCAATCTGGTTGTCTCACCACATTTCCATGTTCTAATAAAGACTTTGCACAAAGTCGTTTCCCCAAGGGCCTTTTAAAACATTTTCTCAAGAAAATGAGCCTTTGTACAATCACTGCAAGCAAGATGGACAGTTTCCATTACTAGGCCCTTGTAATTAAAGGATTTGTACTAATAGCAAATTTATCATAATTCCTGTTGGCCATCAAGTCTTTGACAGGCTATTTCATTCTATCGCTAAGTTTCATATTAAAGCCTTCAGGTTGGCGCCGTGTAAAGCCGTGTAATAAAACACACGCTCAGAACTGTGCACAGCAGCACACACACATCATAAATCACGAGCACACAATTGGATTTTATGAATCGTAACGCTCACGTATGATCATATGTGCTCGCGCCCTGCACCACTTTGCAGAACTCGGCCTGCTTGTGTTGTTCCAGCTCTAATAAAGACACGAGGCTGCCTCGTGCAAGATAACAAGCACGCATGGACAGAACATTCAATCAGACCAACATCACTGCTGCACTCAAAATGACAGCAAATGTTTGATACATTCCACACTGTCACATTCAAATGCTAATTCACACTAATAGCATCACACACAGTAATCCCGCATGCAGCACCTCACTCTGAATATCATTACCGCAGTCCGTCTTTGCACAGAAATGAAGCTTGGTTTTGACAAAAGTCTCTGAATAAAACAGAGTTTGCAGCCTTTGATCATCAGGCAGGATTGAAATAAAATCCCTCTGCAAACTGAGAGCTGTTTTTTACAAGCTTTCCTGTATTACACTTGCTGAAGTTTAAAAAGTGAATCTCAGTGGACTTCAGTGCTGCATTACAAAAAGGCAGCCGGACCAAAAAACAATATTTATGATTTTTTTTAAACAGAGGAACAATCATAAAACTTGTGATGATGTGTCTGCTCTGAGGAGTGTTGCATTGTGGGATTGTTTGGCAAGAATATGTGTTCACAGCATTTATGTTGTGTCCGTAGAGTAGATGACCCAAAAGAATCTTTTACAAATGGCAATGGTGCGCTCATGGATGAAGACTGAAACTGAAAATTGCTTTTTGTTTCACTTTCATAAAAAGACTTTAGTGGCTCTTTGTTTTAGATGCCTGGTATAAATCCTGATGAGGTGCGTTTCCTGTAACGTTCTCAATAATGGGAAAAGAAAAACACTTTTCAGTTGCACCACCAGGAAAACCATGGTCTGATCCAAACCACATACTTCACATTAAAGCCAATACTCACATGCGATAATGTTGCCATAGCGATTCTTGTTGCGGTTCTCGTCCTTTTTGGCCGCCTCCCAAGGTGCTGCCTGTCCCTCTGCCAGGGCCTGCAGGAACAAATGTGAACATGCATCAGCACCCACATGCACACAGAGGAAACAACTGATGAAAACCAAGGAATCCTAGTCCTAACCCAAACCCAAACCCAAAGAGTAGTCCAAACCCTGGTCCTAACACCAACCCAAACCCTAGTGCTAACCATAGCCCAAACCTTAACACAACCCAAACTGTAGTCCTAAGCCTAGAACAAATCTTAACCCTAGACCAAACTCTGGACCAAACCTTAACACAACCCAAACCGTAGTCCAAACCCTGGCACTAACACCAACCTAAATCCTAGTCCTAACCCTAGCCCAAACATTAACACAAACCTTAACACAACCCAAACTGTAGTCCTAATCCTAGACCAAACATTAACACCAACCCAAACAGACCTAACCCTAGACCAAGCCTAACACAAACCCCAACCTTTCACCAAACCTTAACCTTAGACCAGGCATGTCAAACTCCGGTCCTCAAGGGCCAGTCTCCCACAAGTTTTAGATTTGTCCCAGCTTCAACGCAGCTGAATCAAATAGATGATTTACCTTCTCAGTTTGCAATCAAGGTCTGCAGAGGTCCAATAATTAATCACTCTTAAGGTTCAGCTGTGCTGAACCAGGGCAGCACCTAAAACATGCAGGACACCACTGCCCTAGACCAAACCCTATCACCAACCCAAACCATAGTCCTAACACCAACCCAAACAGTAGTCCAAAGCCTAACCCCAACCCTAGCCCAAACCTTAACACAACCCATACTGTAGTCCTAATCCTAGACCAAACCCTAACACCAACCCAAACCGTAGTCCTAACACCAGCCCAAACAGTAGTCCAAACCCTAACCCAACCCCTAACCCTGTACGTAGAGAGTCCCTGCAGGTACCAGCTAATTTCTGGACTCTGTTATTTTTTACTTCTGTGCTTCTTTGTCTATGTTTAGAAATTGTAACATTTCCAGGTAAAATCTGAATACAACAAACAAGGTTTTCTGTGGACTGGTAGAAATCCCAGAAGTGTAAATCTAATCTGGATCAGTAGTCTGTCCAGGTAATTGTTCAGCAATTTTCAGACAAATCCAGGATACTTTGCAAATCAACGGAGCAGCAGACAGAGCTGGAAACGTAGCCTCCTTTCAGCTTTGGCAGACGTAATCTGCTTACGTTTAAGCACTGAAATGAAATCCAACCAGCAGCTAGTTGAGGTAATGACATTGAAAGGCACAAATCAAACTGCTGCACGGTTTTAAAAAAAAGTACAGAACTAAAAGGGAAAGAGACAGTCACAGAGTTTGTTGTTTTGTCGGTTTGTTCTAAAATATAATAGTCTGTGGGCCTTTTGTTGGAGGAGAAAAGACAGATTGTCTACACTCCCTGCTGTGGCGTTGGGAGAGCAGCTTTTCAAACACAGCAAGGACAAAGAGTTGATGTGCCTCATGCATTCTTCATCACATTTTTACCTAAACCACTGAAGTACAAAGAAACGGGTTCATCTGTGCGGATGTATGAGGTATTTTTATGCATACAGTTGAAGAACAGAATAACGTGTGTACATGTGACAATGAGGTCCCCAGCAAGCTGTGAGCAGCAGCTAAAGCCCAACTCTCTGAGGCTGCCATATGGACTCTGAACTATTTTAAAACACCCCCTCAACACACTCAGGTCACTCATATGAACAAAATCTCCCAACAGGGACAAGTGAACGTTTTTTTTTTTTTTTTGGAGCCCATTAAGAGCTTAAGAAGGCCAGACAACAGCTTTTACTTTCACACAGTGATATGACCTACATGTACACACACAATGAGACAGATAAAAGACATTCAAACATATCGCTCAGTCGAGCAGAAAATTGATCCCGGCATATGGACACTAAATGTCCGTGTGTGTTTTTGTACATTTACAGTAGGGTTTCACACTGTGCATTTATTTCAAAAGGACGAATGCTAATATTTTCTTTTAGACATTATCTTAGAGACATGTTTGTGTATAACTGTTTTGAAAATTACTATCTTTCTTAAAGCTTCATCCTCGTATTCCACCATCAGGATTATTGACAGTCTTTGCTGTAGTAATGAGTGGAGACTGCACAGACAGGCTTATATTTTACACCACACAACTGTTGATCAGTTTAACAGAACAAATACTCAAACACACAAACCAAGAAGCTAAAGGAACCAAATGATCTCAAATAAAGCTGCTAATTAGAAAACCATGAGGGCTAATGAAACTTCTTATTCCCTGTGTGTGTCCTACTGTCCTCTCACATGTCGTGTACCAGTCTAACATGTCCTGTACCAGTCTAACATGTCCTGATGCATGTTCTGTGCCAGTCTAACATGTCCTGTACCAGTCTAACATGTCCTGATACATGTTCTGTGCCAGTCTAACATGTCCTGTACCAGTCTAACATGTCCTGTACCAGTCTAACATGTCCTGTACCAGTCTAACATGTCCTGATAGATGTTCTGTACCAGTCTAACATGTCCTGTACCAGTCTAACATGTCCTGATAGATGTTCTGTACCAGTCTAACATGTCCTGTACCAGTCTAACATGTCCTGATA